AGATGTGTATAAGAGATATGTTAAGTGCAATGGCATAAATGTTTATATGTTCATATTTTTATTTTTTATGAAATTGTATGATAAATTGTTTAGTTTGTGGGATGTCACTTGACAGTGATTAAAATTAATTTTGTCTTGTTTCGTAAAATAATATTTCGCTCCCTTTTAATAATTTAATATATATTTTTTTTCTAACCATGTCCCTTTAGGTGCTCCCGGATCTATAGAAGTTTACTCCACCTAAACTATTATTATTTTATAGCGTCGGATTACCGTATAAATATAAAAAGTGAACTGGTTTTGATGATGATGATGATGATGATGATGATGATGATCATGATGATGATCATGATGACGATCATGATGATGATCATGATGATGATGATTGTGATTGTGATACGGTAAACTTATGTTTAAATGGTCCTCATATCCACACCATACGTCGGATCGTGACCAAAATTCAAACACGTTTCTTCATTACATACTATTCTGGGAAGCGTCATTTTGAACCATTGACCCAATCTAGAGATATTTAGGTCTGGGACATAATGGTCTTCACATGCACACCCGACATCAACATTTCTGACTTGAAAACTTGATTAATCAACTGATCATTCAGATCAGTTGATTATATGGTTTTACTATAAATTAAAATAGGTAAAGATAAATTAGTATAGTGGTAGTTATAGTAGTAGTAGCAGCAGCAGCAGTATCAGCAGCAGCAGCAACAGCAGCGGTAGCAGTAGCAGCAGTAGAGAAAATAATAGTGATGACTTAAAATACTTACATTGTAGGCCTACATCCAGCGTTCTACTTTCACTTGTTTTGGTCCCAGCACTGTTACTGGCCCTGCACACATAACTGCCGTCATTGACACGACTCACTGATTGAACTGTGAATGTGGATGAACCCCCTGATTGCTGTACCTCACCATCCCTTAAAAATGTGTACGTAGGTAACGGGTTAGCATCTGCAGAACATGACATCTCAACCGTATCGCCTTCACTCACAGGTGTATCAAAGGAACTTAATACAGGCTTGTATAAATCTAATATTAAGTACCGGTAGTGAAATATATACGGTGGTAAAGAAAAAAGTTACAATTATTTGGTGAAATTTACGTTTTCTAGATCAAAAATTAAATCCAATCATTACCATTGTAAAGCCACTGTGTGGTAAAACGCTCTCCTAATACTAATTAAAAGCATGTTTGTTGTATTAGCAAAAGAATAAAATTAGAAATAATAAAAAACAATTGCAATTTTTGTAGATAAACTTGCCGTTGAAATTATTATATATAAATTGTATATTTATTTTAAATAGAGACCTAAGTTTAAGTCCCTTAAGGTAACAAATATAGTAGGATCACTTACATATAACACTCAGTATGGCGTCATCAGATGCAGGTGCAGGGGGATCGTCAAATATAGATACACTACACTGATACGTGCCGTTGTCACTTCGGCTGGTGTTAGCAATTACTAGTGTTGTGTCTCCATCAACACTGAATCTGTCGATGTATAAAGAACGTACCAATCCAGCTCCACCTTGAGATTGTGCTATTGTATCAGTTACTCCATTGGTAACATTATACCAGGTTACGGTAGGAATACCTACACTACTTGAACTACTTCGCACAATGTTACATGTTATTCTGGTTTCATTGCCTTCAGCTACATCTCCAATGTCATCAACAGTTACAATCACAGCAAAGCATGTGCACATAAGAACTGTAAAAAATTTCTTAAATTTAATGGTCAATGATTTACAACAACTAATATTCTCATAAAGTTACCAATCATTAAACTATTTAAGAGTGAACATATAGGCCTAAGGCCTATCAATATTGATAATTTATTTATTTTTAAAGCGAGTAAACCCATTTTAATTATTTATAGCATGTGTTAAATTATGGTTTCTGAGGGAAAAAAAAGTACAAAGATTAGTTAACTGAACGTTTTGGTGAAATTACTTTAATTATTCTAACCATGCTCTACCCATCATGAGTGAGACTGAAAAAGATTACCATGCGTATGCCTTAAAGAGGGAATTGTTGTTGACGGTAATATCGAGGGATGCCAGTCAATTCGAGCGGATGTCAGTTCGAGCGGATGCCATTTTGAGCGGATGCCAGTTTGAGCGGATGCATTTAGTGCGAACTATAACAAGGGCGAATTTATCGTCGCCGTATTCTTGTATTTGTTTGTTTATATTAAATGCAAAAAAATGCTCTGATTACTAAGGTTCTGAAAGGTTTTTATTACTTTTTGATAATGACTCCATGTTTGAATTACAGTCTTGGCAACTCCGACTACCAAGATGGCCGCTAACAAGTTAAAACTATAATAGAATTGTGAACTTTTCAGCTTAAAAAAGAAGAAAGTGTATGTTTTACTAGAGTGCACGAGAAGCACACACAAGACGAGTGACCATTATTTTTTTCAAAATTATATTTGTAATTGAGTTATGCTACTCATTTATCTATTCTGGAACTGTTGTGATTCCCTACCCCTTTGAAAATGTCAAATTTTTAGCTCAAAAATAGAAAATTTTGAAGTAATTCTTATATAACTCGCACAGGTTGTTGTTCGCACAAGTGGATCTTCTTCCGCTCAAACTAGCATCCGCTCGAAAAAAAATTCCGCTCGAATTGGTCTTCGCTCGAAGTAGCATCCGCTCGAATTGACTGGTTCCCATCGGGAAGGTTATCCATTGTTTGTTTATACAGAGCTTGGCGAAACCACCGAGCTACGGTCTCCTTCACTATAACCATGGAGGAAGGACATTCCTTCCTCCATGATACCTCCATGCTCCATGCTATAACCAAGTCAACTTTTTTCATTTTTATGACGTCCAGTAGACTCTAGAGCAGTAGGCTGAGTAGGTAAGAATAAACTTACCATTAAAAAAGATGATAACCACTTTACATGAAATTGTATTTCTTTGAAACATGATCATCAGTAAAATACACACACCTACTAAATGAAAACATTAAAATAATCAAAAACCGAAAGGTCCACTGATTAATCTCAGATAAGAAAGTATAATACATACTCCAAGTATTGAAATACACGCCATCGTGTTGGGATTCAATATTTCGACATTAATTATGTCATCATCAGGTGATGATGACATAATTAATGTCGAAATATTGAATCCCAACACGATGGCGTGTATTTCAATACTTAGAGTACGTATGTATTATACTTTCTTAAAATAATCAAATTACGTTAACTGTAGAATAAAAAAGCAAAGGAAATACACAATTTATAACACATAAAAATACTGTACTAGTTATTTTCCGGTGTTTTAACCAATTAATTTTGTAGGCAACTAGTAGTGATTGACATCATTGTCATTCCTTGAACTTTAAATTGAATAGGCCTAATAGTCATAAAGTGTACAATGATAACATTAGATGCCGGTATAGTATAGCAAACGTGGTTCCTATTTGCAACTTACGGTCCTTCATAATTGTAATGACAGTAGGCCTACCGTAATCATTTTGATACGTGCACAAAGTGTAGGCCTACTACTTGATTATGCATGCTTAGTGTGTTTAATTATAGTGCATTATACAGTACTCAAAATATCTAAGAACATAACACATACAAACTTACAGTTTTCTTTGATTTGCGAACTTCTCGTTGGTTGCTACTGTAACAGATGTGTATTGTGTAATTGAACGTGATTGCAATAAAGGTCCTGGTGGCAGCATTCAATCGCGTTTTATTTTCAAGCCAGCAATTACTGTTTTAGTCTTGAAACTTTAAATACAATGCATATTTCATACCGGTACATCATTAAATATTACTGAATCTTGTTTCATAGTTTTTACTTTTCATACATTTTCGTAGTATTAAAGTGTTTTATTTAAAGCATAGGCCTATATTTGTACTTTTTTTAAAACAATATCCATCAATTGTTACCGTTCCTATTTTACAATTACTGTACTTTTTTTTTAACTTTCCTATTAAAAAAAAAATATTAAAGCGTTTAATACCTAAAATGATAAATATTTTCGTTTACTAAATATTACGGAGATCTTTGTTGTGAACAGTTTTTTCCTCCGACAAGGATATAACACTAACATCCAAGACATTTAAATATATTGTATACCTACATAAAAATATATGTCTCTTATACACATCTAGATGTGTATAAGAGACAGGTTATATATATATATATATATATATATATATGTATGTATGTATGTATGTATATATATAAAAGGAAAAAAAGAAAAAGGACCAAAATCAAAAAACAAATTCACATCAAAAAGTAAAAGAAAAAATTGCAACAATCTACCGTCCGATCTCACTTAGGATTTCACATGGATTTTGCTGGCCAATACAAATTCTTTCCTGGGATCACTCAAAATAAATTACTTCTAAAATATGTAAATATTCATCAGCACGCGTTATACATATACTACTATAATTGTAAACCATAGGCCTAAGCGTAATTGTTTACGCAAATTGGAATTACCGTACATATAGAACATGGTTTGTTATATCTTCGGGTTCATCTATTCATGGAAAACAAAATGCGTATGCAACGACTAATTTTTTTATATTTTCTATATACACACATAATAGGCCAACCAGAAGAATTTACAAGTCATCAAAAGACACCTCATAAGTCGGGAAAGTTCATTTTCCGCCAACTAGGGATCAACGTTTTACCGAGGGAGCCCCCCTTCCCCCAAACCCGCTTTCTCTTTGGGGTTTATCTATTCATGGGAAAAAAAAGAATTCTTATGCAACTACTCAATTATTTTATGTACGTATACACACATAAATATGCCTATTTACTGTAATAAAAATGAGAGAGTTTACCTGACCGCCTTCAAGGAGGGAAAACCTCGAATGCTGAAAAACTTAAAAGTCATTAAAAGACACTTCAGAAGTCGGGAAAGCTCATTTCCCGCCATCTAGAAATCAAATTTTCCCCGGTCAAGGACGCATTGACCACCTTTCTTTTTGGGGTTTTTGTGAAAAAATGTGAACCAAAATCCGCCCCTGGGCCATTCATATAAATGCTAAATAAAACCGGAGACAACACTCCACCCTGCCTAACTCAATGGAAACGCTGAACTTTCTGGAAATACTAAATCCCCATCGACCAGGAAATCTTTTATTTGTTTACTATACCATTCACGTACAGGGGCGGCGCCAGGAATTCCCCGACGAGGGGTCCAAGCTCCCCGACAAGAGGCCTACACCATAGCATCCTCCCCCCCCCCCCTCCGTCGGGGAAAAAAATATGTTGATTATGGTAGTTTTTAATTCCCATAATTTGACAATTAAGTATAGGAATAGGCCTCCTAATACTTTTGGCGGTCGAGATTTCATTTTTTCCTGACGACCTTGCTGGAAATTCCCTGTTCACCTAAGATCTTAACAATAACTAGTGGAATATTTCTCTTAATTAATTTATCATACAATGTCCAATCGTTAACTCGGTCGAAAGCTTTACTCGAATCTAAAAAGCATGTATGTAACAATAAACTGGACATCCATTCCGTTGGTAATATTCAATGGTCTGTTTAAGAAAAAAAAATGCACGTCTCTGTGAAGTGATTAGGTTTAAACGCAAACTGATGACAATCAGTTTTCAGGGGTTTTTTTTGCAAAAGTCAAGGGGAATGAGTTTAAAAAAAATTGACATCACAGATGCCAGAGCAATCGGACGATAGTTATTAGTGGATGTAATGTCACCAGACTTATTTATTATAGTCGGAATGAGGGCGACTTTGACAAATTCGTCGACAATGTGCCCATGAACAAGCATTGCATTTAAGCAAATACTTAATAAAACCATGGAGGTATAAACTCAATTTTCTACTTGTATGTTTTAAATGCTCACCATGCGACGCCATCTAAACCAGGTGATTTTCGGACAGCTTGAAGATTTGATCTTGAACAATTTGAGAATAATCATCAATTTGTTGCAATTTATCTTTTTCACACACAAAAAATTTGTTTGTGTGATCTGCCCAGACATCACATATATTTTTATTGCCCGTGACACCATTAATAAATGCTGCATGTTCGTTCCATTCAGGAACAGTATTAAAAGTTGTTCTGACGCATATTTAAGCAGCTTATACAGTACCGGTATCCTGATACAAGTAGGCAATCAATTTCAGCTAAATGGTTTGAGTTGTTACAATTTGCATCCCTGCAAGACGCCATGGATTGGCAGATAAAAGTATTATATAGCATTATATCGGTAGCAGACGTATAATCATTTACCGATGTTTTGTTAACTTGGAAATGTACCGAATACTCAGTACATTTGAAAACAACTGCGAAAAAAATCGCAAGTTGTTCTCGGGTCAAAGACAATTAAGTTTTATTTTCTATGGTACAAAACAGATTAATTAAATCTCTATGATAGCCGAAAATCGCTGATAAAAGATCATGGTGATGTTATAATGATGACTATATTATAAGAGTGTTTTGATTACGCCCTCTATAATAAGTGAACTTATAGGTAAATGACAAAAGAAAGTGATTAGAACACAGAAAAGTATTAATATTAAAATTGCTTAAGTAAACCTGTGCACCATAAGACCAAATGACATGATCTAACCAATTGGTTTCATGAGCATCACTGTAGTAAGTAAAATTTTCAGTAGAGTTTCAGAATTAGAATCACTAAGATATTCGACATCAGAAATGTGAAAGCTACCTACGTTCAGTTGTGAAACTCAATAACTTTACCAAACTTTTTGTTCACGTGAGAATTAAGATCACTGCCTACAATTGCATCTCCATGTCCATGGAACTAATCAATTAAAGACTTTATTTTACCAAGATAGTCAATATATTTAATATAGTTGACATCATTTTCATAAGGTAAGTAGACATTGATAAAAAATGTAAATTTATCACCATTGCCTATTTGAATACCCACAAGCCTTTTGTCCTCAAGGTCGAGAGGTCTAATAAAGTTACATAAAGACTTTCTATTAAAAAAAAAGGTGCTACCCCACCATATGGCCTACCAGTGAGGATACCCCCGGCACTCTCCATGCCAGAAAGCCTACAATCAAAATCTATATCTGAATTACCAATAACACACGACTCGAGTGCGCGTGCTTTTTGTTATAATTTGAGAAGTATGAAAAAATGTAAGATTTTCGGCACACGAATTAGGTAAGTTAAAGTAAATAGGGGGCCTACATCAAAGACAATTAAGTTTTATTTTCTATGGTACAAAAGAGATTAATTAAATCTCTATGATAGCCGAAAATCGCTGATAACAGATCATGGTGATGTTATGATGATGACTATTATTATTATAAGAGTGTCATTTCCCGCTAGCGTGAGGTACTACAGTATTTCCTCAAAATTTTCGCACCTCAGCCACAACTACGGGGGGACTGTGGTGGGTTTTGGACTCGCGGCTTTGAAGTTGGTAAAGTAAAGTAAATACATCAAAGACAACGTTTTTAAGTTTTATTTTCTTGGTACATCACACACTGTGACTATAATGGTGATTTGATGACGAATTTTTCTACATAAGAAGGTCGTTTCTGGCCATCTAGAAGTACTATTTCCCCACATTTTCGCACCTGAGCCCCATGGCCATGGTGGGGCTGATATGGGTGTAACTCGTCAATGGTTTAACTTTTATTTTCTATGCTGGGCGGATTCATGGGGTGCAAACGATGCGATCGCACCCACTAAATTGTATTAAGAAAAATAATTGTTGTATTGTATTGTTGATAGGCCTATATTATTTTTATCATTATGAACATAGTACAGGTAGGATTTTAAAAGTATGAGAATGCAATTTCCGGGCACCCAGAGCTCCATATTCTCAAGAAGTTCCCACTTCAGCCCAACGATGGTTGGGGCTGAGGTGATGATGGACTCTCACGCACACCCTAACGCCAAATCCTGCATCCGCCCCAAATATGGTACATCACACAGATGATTTTGATCTCTGATTGCCGGAATTCGCCGATAAAAGATGATGAGAAATTTGTTGGTGCTTCATTTTGACTACAATGGTGATGTGATGTGAAGAATTTCACTAAGAGTGTCATTTCTGGCCATCTAGAGAGTGCTTTCCTCAAATTTTTCGCACCTCAGCCCTAACAATGGTGGGGCCCGAGGTGGGTGTTGGCTCACGGCTTGGAGTAGGTAAAGTAAGTGTTTACATCAAGACAATTTAAAGTTTTATTTTCTATGGTACATCACACTTATTAATTAGATCTCCATGGTTGCCGAATATCGCTGATATATAAAGATCTGAGAAATAATGGTGATGTGATGATGAATTTTACTGTTATAAGAGTGTCATTTCCGGCCATCAAGAGATACTATTTCCCGTCAAATTTTCCCACCTCAGTCCCAACCAACGGGTGGGGCTAAGGTGGGTGTGGTCTCACGAAATGTCCCCCCGCCTTTCAAAACAGATCTCACACTCATTTTGTTCTATGTAGGGAGGCGAAGACTTAGAAGTAACAGGTTAACACTTACCGTACACGCTTCCGTGCAGAATTCTCTGTAAGGGGATGCTCCCTCTTACGTAATGTATCATCCCATTTCTCTTTCCCGTTTACGTACTCAGACCAAACAATTTGTTACTGTGAACAAGCACTCCCTAAAATCGTTTTAAAACAGCTTAAAATGGAATGCTTAGATCGTCGGAGAGCCAAAAGACTTCGCCCCCTCGATCCGCGCCAATATCATTTATACGCCGATGAAACGCAATTACATATTACTTTGAAATCAGATGCACTGTAAAAAAAAATTAGAGAAAATAGGCCTAATTGATCCCCCAAAACGCCTTCGAGGTTATTTTCGGGCATCCAAAAAACAAAAATTTCGCGGACATCCTGGGAAGGTTTTGTCTCGATCGGCCCCACTTTCCTCCCCCATTTGAAAATAAATTAGATGGTTACATTGCATACTCTTTGTTTCTTGCTTTATTCAAAATGTTTTGGTTTTGGAAGCTGATTTCAACATTAGAAAGCATAGCCTACATGAAGTCATATAGTAACTCGATGCCTATCAAGTAAGTAATAAAAATTCGCCATAATTCATCAAATATCCGTGGCTTCCACCCACAATCATAGAATTGCATTGGCTTCCAGTCAGGCAGCGCATTTAAGACTCTTATTGTACAAAAGACCCTTCACCACTGTGCTGCCAGTGCCAACTTCCTTACTTGATTTTCTCAAACTGCAACTGCACTCCACAACCTGTACAAGAACACTCCAATCTACATCAAACACTTCAACTCTGTTCACACCATACGATACAATACGATACGACTTTTATTTCCATCAAAATTCATTAAAAATATATCATAATAATAAATGAGATAAGGATGGAGGAGATACAACGAAAAGCAAACAGCCTGTAAAATGTTGTACCACCTTTACATAAAATACCGTCTAAAAACATTTGGGGAAATAAAAGGTCTTTATCGTGTTGCCGCCCTAACTATGGAATGATCTGGAAGTTTATATGCTCGAGTTTGGTTTCTCCAATGAACTCTTTGTTTTTTCTCGCCTATGGTTTGTTTTTTTTTTGTTTTTTTTTTTTTTTTTTGGTGTAAGGCTATAGATTCCAAAACCATTTGAGTGCCTGAATACCATATTAGGTAGTTTTCGCCGAACAACGTTAACTTTAACGTTAACGGATGACGTCATAATTTATTCATCTTGCGTTGCGGAGTACGTTAATTTCAGGATTTTACGTGCTCGACATACGTTAGTTACGGGTTTGCGCATGCGTATTTCGATTTGTTTACAAAAGGGGCGGAGCTGCCGCGCTGCATGTTTAGTCTAACGACCACGTTAAAGTTAAGGTTAACCTCGTGCGGCGAAAACTAACTACCTAATGATATTGCTGAACACTGTTTTTAACAATGGCCTCAAATTGCAAAAAAAAAAAAACGGTGCAATGGTACCGGTATTGGTTTATTTTTTCAATATTTATAAATTATTATTTTTTTTTTTGGTTTTATTAGGACCATCTAGCTTTTTCTACCCTCACTCACTCGCCACTGAGGAAGGACTAGTTTTGTCCGAAAGCTCTGGTTCTATTTCTGGCTGTTTACTTACGTTTACTTTTTAGCTGTTGCTTATCATTTTTGTATAGAATGGGTTCAATTTTTGTGAGCACAGGACTCTTTCTTACGATTAAAAACAACTCACTCCCTAAGCCGAAGTATAGGATACTAGGTTTATAAACTATTGTCCATCCTGTAATTGGCGAGTTACATGCTGTTGTATGCATAGTGACCAGCCTGAGAGATTTGAAATGCGTGACTATACCATGGGGGTGGGGAGGCTGCCAGGGTCCCCGTGGTCCAGGGGCGGAACCCCGGATTCCAGTCACATCAACGGTTGGTTGTGACAATGAACGCGCAAGATCACACGCGACTACTAAATTCTAATAATTAGTGTGTGGTTCGCTTTGTTGGTTTGGTAGGAAAAGAGAAATTTTCTCGGTGAATTGATTCTAGAACGAGATAAACAAAAGCTTTCTAATGACTCAAGCTACTGCATAACCGTTTTTATTTTATTAAATATCACTTTATTGCAAACGACAATAAGGAAAACGTAAAATACAATCCTAGATCATGGCCCAAATGAGGTACACGCAATGAGAAACGGAGAACAACAATGAGAAAAGGGCAAAAATCAGTTAGTCAGTTATAAGATATGGAGGATTAATCCAGGATGGTTCGTTTTTCGCGTAATATATATTAAGGAAGAAATTATGGCAAGTTTAGAAATATTGTCACGGAATTTTTTTAAATTAATTGGGTCATTTTCAAAATTGTTTTAATTGTTTTTATATTGCGGGGAGAGATATATCCACGTGAACCCACCTCAAAGCAAATCAGTTGGACATCATAGCCGGAGTCACTAATGTCCCTAATCAGAGGTGCATACTTTTTATGTTTCCGAGAATGGGCCGCCTCAATGCCCAGTTCGAAAGGAACCGTCAACTCGAAAATGACGAGTTTTTTTCAATTCCTTCCAGAACAGACAGAGATCTGGGATCAGAGTTGTCGTAGCACACTCCAATGGGATGGTTGAACGGGTGTTATGATTAGTGACTTCGGCCTCGAGGTCAGATTTGATTTTTGGAGAGTTGCTCGTTTCGTCAAAGACTTTCGTTAAAATATTAACAATATAATTTAAAATATCGTTATGTTTCCACGTGAGACGACCCTGGTCCAAGGGACTGTTTACATTCGTTAAGAACGTGGTGTAAAGTTTCGCGATTTCCACATGTCTTACACAAATCGGAGGTGATTTGCCTCAACGTTTTAAGTTAGTGCGTGTAGGGTATCGCCAAGAGAATTAACAAGGAACTTTAGCACACCTACTGGAAGATTATAGATTATGCTCTTTTTTTTTTAAATTGTAAGAGAGGCTTCAGGATCTTTCTCCTTTGCTTCGATAAACCTTTGCTCACATTCCCTCGAGATAGAGATCTTTTTGGTCCATGTAATTTCCCGAGCGATTCGACTGTCGACACATTTGTTAACAGTTTTATCACCTTTCAATATCGAGGAGATATGAGCAGTGAGGTGACACTCTTTATACAAAGAAGAAATCGAATCTATGCCCAGTCCTTTAGGCATTTTGACAAAAGCCAGTGTGCCAGGATGTGGGGTGCCCAACTGCTTCTTGATGTACCGATTGGTTAAAGCATCAAACTTTTGAAGAGGGGATACACATCGTTGATAGTTAGATGGTATTTGAGGCTACTGTATTAAGGAAATATTGGGCATAGATTCGAATCTTGTATTCACAACGGATTGGAGAGCTATCAATTTTTTCAACACCTTCACTAATCTTTTCCTCTAGGTATTCGAACACATCAGAGTCTTTATTTCTAAATGTGATCAGTGAACCCAGGAATTTACGACTTTCGCCGTCGACTGATGTGATAGTGGTGTCAGCCAATTTGAAGGGAATATTCATAGCTTTCCCACGGGTAATAGACAGTGATCTGCATTTATTTGGTTTGAGATCCATTGTTCTTGTTTAGGACTGTATCTTAGATATAATTCTTTGATGAGTACGCTTGTTCGTTGAAATCAGACAGAAGTCGTCTGCGAAGGGTGCTGTTATTATTTTTGTACCGTCAATGTTGTACCCATGGGAAAGCTCTGATTCAATGTACTGGATGACAGGGTCGAAGCAAAGGAGAAAGACAAGTGGTGAGAGTGGATCGCCCTGGAAGATGCCTTTGTTGAAAGAGAAATACGGTAGTTAGATGACCACTGTTTAAGTTACAATTTTCCCGAGATATTAGATAAAGATTCTTTATATAACGATTGACATTAGGGTCAAAAAGATTATGAGGTCATGCGGGACAGATCCAAAGGCATCTTCCAGGTCGAACCAGGTAAAATGTGCAGTGCGACAGTTAGCTTTAGCGTGATTAATTACTTCGTGAACGACAATATTATGTTCAACGCATCCATTTGGTTCTTTAAAAAAGCTTTCTGTAATTCGGGATTTATAATTTTATTGTCCATTAGAAAAAGTTCAAGCCTGATTGAGAAAATCTGATGGAACACTTTTCCTATACATGATGACAAAGCAATCATACGGAAGTTGGCAGGGTCTTGGGTGTCGCCCCCCCCCCTTTTTTTTTTTTTTATGTATGAGAGCTATTCGACATGTTGACCAAGATGAGGGTGGAATCCCAGAGTTCAGTATTTTGTTAAATAGGGTTGCCATGAAGTGGTGAGTGCATGGGAACTTCTTGAGAAGCCCATATGTGATGTTGTCAGGACCAGGAGAGGAGTTGTTGCTTTTTCACTTTAGTACTTTTTTTTATGTCTTTTGGTCTTATCCCATCCGTATTAAACTGTATATTCAGCTGGTAAAGTACGGAGCTCAGATATCCATGAGAGAGAGTTTAAGTCGATGGATGGTGAAATTTCGTACCTCTGTGTGAAGTATTTATCAGCTGTTTCTTTGTTGAATGTCGGTCCTAGTGGACTACTATTAATAGGGTTTCCGTTAAAAGGTGATTTTGAATACTTCCAGAAGTCCGATCTATAATTCTTTTCGTCGTACATTGTATTTCGTTTATTCTCAACTTTTGTTTTCTCTTTTTTCAAATAGTCATAGGCTCTTAGAGCTTCATTGGTTTTAATAAAACCAATTTCTTCTATTTTTAATACACTTTCCCCTGAATTCCTGATAATTCTATCACGCATAGACTTGTGCTAAATGCGGGACAAATTTATGATCACGCATGTGTTTCTGCAAAATGCATGTTTCATTCAAAATCACTTTGAAATGCGGGACCGTCCCGCACGATGCGAGACGGTTGGTAACTATGTGGATGCGAATGAAAAAAAACATGTGAACATGTGAAGTGAAAACCATTCATTGGTAAATAAAAGAAAAACATTCCTCTGCTCTAAATCAGAGCCGTAGATTAAAAATCAGCGAGGCGCGCCCTCTATAGTCTTTCGGCAATGACGTCAAGGATCAAAATTCATCACAAAAATACAAATTCACGGAATATTATGATGTCGAGTTAACAGATTATTAGTTTTTGATAGAGGAACGAAGTGTATGTCTTACTCAAAGGAAAGGTTGTCACAACAATGAGGACATGTGCCTAGGGTACGCTTTAGTAATTTCTCTATATTTTAAAGTTGATGTAAATGTTAACTTGCCTAATCCTTAGGCCCACTTGGTCTAGCGTAGTCCTAGACACAGCAGCTGCTCTACGACGTTAGGTAAGGGCGAGCCTGCTCTAGTTATCCTTCCTATGCTAGGCCTGCCTTAGTTAGCCCTACAAACAACAATGATTTGGCCTATATACCAACGACTATTCTTGAAGTTTTCGGAACAGGAACTGGTTTTGATTTTTGGTGTGGGACCACCCAACTTAGTTTTGTGGAGCATTTGATTGCATGTTGATTTTAAATTTCAACCAGCAGTACACAGTACCCTCCTCATCTTTGACCTTCCTCCAGTCCCTAAAACTAAATTAAAACACTGTCTTCCGAAAATGCCACAACTTGTAATCTTTGTTATAATTTTTGGTGCCTGGTGGTCGACTATCTACTAGTGTATCTATTAAAGTAATAATAACGTTTGAAAGCCCAGGCTTATCTCTAGCACGTGTAATCATTGTAAATTGTATTGTACAGTATTTTTATTAATACGAGTGCCGCACTTTGGTTTGAACCATTTTAAACGTGGTGTTTGCAGTGGTGGCTCTTGTGTAGAATTGACTTGTAAAAGCATGGCGTAGTTGTAGGTACTGTAGCAGTGTTTGATTATGCAGGATGTTGTTTCCCCAATAAGGCCACTGTCACCAAGAATCTTATTCTTAACTATTCCACCAGTCATTTTATTAGTACTGTAACTAGAAAGCTTGTGAACAAGTCCGTGTTAATTTGCATTCAGGCTGTAACCAATCGTGACTGAAATTTCAAAATGTGGAAATCCCCACAACTAAGTGGCAGATCGTTACCACCATAAAAAGTTGCTATACTACGCTCACGCTAGGGTCAAATTTTCTTTCGCCAAAATGGCAAAATGTTTTTAATTTTTTTCGCCTAATTGAAAATAATTTAGCCAAATTTAAAAACCAATTTCACAAAAACGGTTTCGTAAATTAATTTCTTGCATATTTATGTCTTATTCATTTGTAACCAGTTGTAAAGGCTGTAATAATAATAATATAAATGATTGAACAAACGAAACAAAAATGATCGTTTATGATATGTGGGACCAACGGCTACTGGACCTGCTCTAGGCCTAGTGCTTTGCCTAGGCCTTAGCTAGGGCCTAATTCAAATTGAGAGTAGAACACAGGTGAGCAAAGTGGGGCCCGCGGGCTACATGCGGCCCGACGGCGACTTTTTTGCGGCCCGCGAAAATAAATTAAAAATCCTATGTGTGTGGCCCGCCAAGCAACACTGGCTAGAACCACCTGTTTTTCACAGTCCGACACCGATCATATATAAAAAAGTAACATTAAAACTCAGAATAAGGTGGTGTCACTGGAAACATCAAAATTTGGGTGCAGCCCTCGGTGTTAAATCGAAAATTCATTTTAGCCCTCCGACCGATTTTTATGCCCACCCCTAGAGTAGAGAGTCCCTCACTTTTTGAGATTACGAGCGACTGCTATTTAAATTACTGTACTGTTTAGTAGGCCCTACCTGGTGTTATTGCTCTATAGCATATCAAATGTAACTAGATTTGAACTCGTCACTGGGGACGAGTTAGGTGATCCGCCGCACTTTGACCCTCGAGGAAGTGTGCGCGGTGCTGATTGAACAATATTTAAATGCTGAAAATGGCTTAAATATACGCTATTTCAGCTTTATTAAAAATGAATTTGGAACACTTTAAAATATATACTCATGCGTACGCGCACGTCATGACACACGTGCGCATGTTAATGTTACAAAATGTTGTCTCCTGATATGAGATATGTATCAACTTTCATTGACAAACGCCTGCTGGTGAGGGAGTAATTATCATTCATAATATTTATCATATACAGTCGAGTCCGCCAAAGTCGACTCTGTTTAAGTCGAAAATTTGCATCAGTCAAATTTTTTAAAAAGTCCCAATTCTTTCCTATGTATTACTGTGTAAATTGTTTGTTTAATTCAAATTTTTATAAGTCGAATTTCGGCTACATTGACGGAATTTTCAGGTCCGGATAGGCCGATTTTAAAGTAATTTCAACCACACAAGTCGAAGTTCCAAATTTAGTAGTGCACGTGGGAAAAATACACAGCCGTGGGAAAATACAAAGTTCAATCCTTGTTG